TTCTCAACTCTCCTTTTAAATAGTTATGGCCAATTATTAATTAACTTATTTATCATAAAGTCAATATAAAGGCTTGAATTTTTCATGTTTCCTCTGTTGTGGGCGGGAGTCACAGCTGATAAAATTTGGCCCAGTTCTTTATGTCCCGCTGCTCTGTGTCCTGAGGCTGCCCTGCCGTTCGTGTTATTTACTTCATTCCAGGAGAGCTGAGCCATCTTGGCACAAGATCTGTGCTCTGTAAACCTAAGTAAGACAGGTGCTTGCATTCCTCAGAGGCCATCTCTTCTTAAAGATCTGGATGGAAGGTGCATCCGTTTGCTGGGGCTGCTGTACCAAAGTGCCACAAACTGGGGGTTTTAAACAGAAATGCATTGCGTCCCAGTCCGGAGGGGGAATTGAGTGTGGGCAGGTTGGTTCCTTCTGAGGCGTGAGGGAGACTCCTTCTCATGCCCCTCTCCTAGCTCCTGGCAGCTGCAAGCACGGCCAAAAAATCCTCCCTGTGTCTTCACACCATCCTCTCCCCTCTGCATGCCTCTGTCTCTGCGTCCAAGGTTCCCCTTCTGGAAAGCACACCCTATGGGATTATGACCCACCCTAATGAGCTCATTTACAACACTAGAGGTCTGGTGCACGCAATTTGTGAACGTTGAAGGGGGGGGCAAGACCGGTTTGGCTCAGTGGATAGAGCGTCGGCCTGCGGACTGAAGGGTCCTGGTTCGATTCTGGTCAAGGACATGTACCTGGGTTGCGGGCACATCCCCAGTGGGAGGTGTGCAGGAGGCAGCTGGTCGATGTTTCTCTCTCATTGATGTTTCTAACTCTCTCTCTCTCTTCCTCTCTGTAAAAAATCAATAAAATATATTTTAAAAAAGAAAAAGAAAAAGAAAAAAAAAGAAGGGGGGCGGCGGTCCCTCAACCCGGCCTATGCCCTCTCACAATTGGGGACCCCTCGGGGGATGTTGGGCCTAAACCGGCAGTCAGACATCCCTCTCGCAATCCAGGACGCTGTATGCACCCGTGACCATACTTTTCATACAGGTGAAAGGCATCTTGCTGTTGTTTGGGCAGCTACATTGTTTTGCCCTGATCATGAAAAGTAGTACCTAACATGATCCTTCTGAGGCAATAGTACCATTTTCCCCATCTTATGGGTGGAAAAACTGAAGCAGAGAGAAGTTAAGTAATTGGCTTTGTCACACAGCTATAAGTGTCAGAATCAGGGCTGACCACAAAATGTGCAAGTCAGAGTCCATGTATGTCATCGCAGTATCATCCTGTTTTTTCAGTGTTAGAGTAACCTTGGCAGGTTTTAATTTTTAAATCGAAGAGATTTAAATCCAATATATAGGGTAGGGTCCCTAGGCCTGGCCGGTGATCAGAACCATCTGTGGGGCGACTAGCGGGTGGGGCGATTGGGGGGCCCCTGCTGGCACCATCCTTGGCTGGTGGCCTGGCACCACTCACTGGCTGGCTCTGCCCCCCAATTGCTGCTGCCAGTCACCTCCCTGGGGTGGGGGGCGGGGGGCAGGGCAGGGCACATTATAGCGACCAGTCATTCCACTATTTGGTCGATTTGCATATTAGGGTTTTATTATATAGGATCATTGTCTTTATAAAAACCCTATTTCTGAATCCACATTCTGCAATACTGGGTGTTAGGACTTCAAAATATCTTTTATGAGACATGCAATTTCACCCCTATGGCAAGGTGCAGAGCTTTCCCTCTGGAGGGAGAGTGGAGGCCAGAGCAGGGCTGATTCCTGGCTGCTCAGACCCTGAGGGCGGGGGGCTCCCCCAGGCGGCAGTGACCTGTGACCGGACCCATTCATTGCCCTGGGTCTGTGTCCCCTGCCTCTGGGGCTGCAGGCCTGCCTTCGCTTTGGCCACTTGTGAGCTTTGTGTCATTGACTGGCTCTCCACTCCAAATCTAAAAAGTACCTATTTTATACCAATTTCCTCCTCTTTTTTTTTATATCCCCCCCCAATTTTGTCTTTTTCTACAGTGAGGACTTATGGGTGTCCCTCATCAGTTCCCAAGAATGTCATTTTGTAGTTTGTGTTTTGCTTTTCCACCTCCAGGGCAGACTCTAAGAGGTAGGCTCACAGCCCAGGGTGCCGTAAGCAGGGCAGTGCGGGCGTGTGGGCCCCGCTTCCAGGGAGCTGGAGGATGCTTGGGGAAAGTGTGACAGCCGATCACAGTTAGAAACAGGCAGTTACAGTGGCAATGTGATAAGGCTTTATGGTAAGTAAATATGTACTACATTTGACTTCATAAAATAAATTTTTATAAAAAAATTTCACAGTTCCCCCTAAATTAGCTTTGGGGATGCTGTTGACAGATAGTTTGAGAACTGCCAGCCTGAAATGGAGGCTTGTTCCAGAGAGCGGGCCCAGGGGAGGAGGGGGAGGGGGCTGGCCAGTGTCTTCACGCTCGCCCCGCACCTAAGCATTTGCCTGCTCTCTGAAATGAAGCCTGTAGTGGAGACTCACTTGCCGCTGACAGCATTCCTCTGCTTACCTCTGTCCCCTGGGCAGTCTGCAGGTGTTCCTGTCACCTTACAGGGGACCTCGCCCTGAGCAGGCCTGCCTAGGGCCAGCCGGCAGGGTTCTGGGCTTTGTGTAGGAAAGAGCTCACACCTGAGCCAGGGGACTATGAGAATGTTTATTAAAGCTGCAGAAGGGCTTAGCACAGAAGAAGCAACAGGAGAGCCTAGGCTGGGCTGCCTTCGCTCCCAGGGAAGTCAGAGAAAAGGGGGCCTTGGGGACAGGTTCAGGGGGTTAGTCTGGGACAAGCTGCTGCTGCCCATTGCTCCCCTTGTTGCAAGCCTCATGGGGCCCTTAGAGTTTAGGGGATGCGTGCTGTGGGGGAAGAAGAGAGGGAAGAAGAAGGGAAAGGGAATGGAGTGGGCTGCTCCCCAGGGGGAGATTGTGTACTGGGTCTTTGTCTTGAGGCTTTTATCTCTCGTGCAGGTGGGAATCTCGGGGCAGGGTCTCAGTTTTCCAGGCATGCTCTTTCAGGGCCATGGTCTCTGCTGATGGGTCAGGGTCAGGGCAGGGGGTCATTAGTCATTGCAGCTGGTCCTGGTGTCGCCCACGTGGTTTGCTGCTTTTCTGGGTCTAGAGCAGGGGTGGGCAAACTTTTTGACTCGAGAGCCACAATGGGTTCTTAGACTGGACCAGAGGGCCGCTTTTTTTTTTTTAGTTTTATTCATTTCAAACGGGCTGGATCCGGCCCGCGGGCCGTAGTTTGCCCACGGCTGGTCTAGAGCTAAACTACAACTGAGGCCTAGATGTTCTCTCTAGGAGGTGGCCTGTGTCTGCTGTAAAGTGCTCAGCCAGCTTGTTCAGCTCTGTCTCAGCTTCCCTGTCCACCTTTTCCTGGCTCACTGGCCTGTCTCACGCCCATCCCTGGTGCCCTCTTCTGCGCTGCGTCCCTCCATAGACATCCTGCCTCCCTTCACAGTCACGTCCCCACGGCTTCAGAAGAACCCCGGTTTTTGCTTCCTCATTAAGTCAGTTAATGTGTGAGGCCGGGGCCATGGCTTTCTTCACCCAGCCCCGCATCTCCTACGAGCACACTGGGCGCATCCTACACACCTGGCAGGTATGCAGGGGAGTTCTGCGTGAAGAGGGAGCCGGCACCCTGGAGGCCTGTCTGCTGCTCCCGCATGGGTCGCAGCGGCTGTGGTGACAGAGGACTCCAGGACATTTAGAAGCGGCTGAGAGCCCTTTCCCTCGCTGGGTGATTGGTATGGAAGGACCGGCTGGGCCTCTCACATGGGCCAGCATTCATCTGCACTCATGTGCTGCTTTGTAAATGCTTCTGGCCTTTTCCATGCATTAGTGTTCTCCAAGGGCAAGGGCTGCATCTCCTCTTTTCTTTCTTTTAAACTATCCCCCATGGCACCAGATAAGAGCTGCGCGGGGGTAAAATTCGCCTATCTCCTCCTCCTCTGAACCTCCACCAGAGAAACATGGTCCCGAACCCAAGGGCCTTTGCAGAAGACTGACTGCACACAGGCCTTGATCTTGAGGATTTTACAGTCAAAAGGGGGTGAGCTCTCAGCTCAGATGCAGCCAATAGCAACCCAGAGCGCAGAGCCCGCTGTCTGTTCCCTCAAGCCCATCACAGGATGAGGCGGTGACATGGGTCAGACAGGCCTGTGGCTCCTGGCTCTGCCCGTCAGCCTCTTCTGTTATTTCAGCTCTAAGCCCCAGTCTCTTACTCTGTAATGTCGGCATAAAAAGGCTGTTACCTGTGGGGGCCTTGTGCCCTGTGAGTAGCACCCTCCTCTCCTGCCTGTGTTCTGAATCGGTTGAGACTCAGGAGTAAAGAGCAGCAGAAAGCGGTGGGGGTAGCCCGTCGTCACGGAGGCAGGGCTGCCAGTGGATGGGTGGCCTTGGGGCTTCCATCGTGAGTCTGAGAGCCAGGTGGCTGCTTCAGCCAGTCTCAGGCTGGTTCGAACCACAGGTGTCCTCCAGGGAAAGACTGTGCAGACTTGGGTTTGGATGGTTGAACAAAAGCATTGACTCCTCTGGTTCCAAGGGCAAGTGCTGGGCCTCACACTTACCACAGGAAATAGATAGTTACTGAACGGTTAACTAAGCAGATACTCTCCTCCCCAGGAGGAGCGTGGGGGCAGCTGAGAGGGACCAGGCATGCTCCACTCGGGACAAGAAAAGATGGAGAAGGTGCCTCTGCTGGGGGGTGGGGGAGTGGTCTTGTGGAGCCTGAGGTTCCAGACGAATACCTTGATTAACAGTCACGTTGAGTTTAGCCCTTACTAAGCCAGCCTCCCAGTGCTGCTGCAGCAGTTTTAGATGTGACTGTGCACCTGGAGAAACATCTCATTCCGTGTGCTGTAATTCCGACTGTACCCAAGACAGCTCCGCACACCCCGTCTTTGCCCTGTGCACACAGAGGGCACGCTGTTCCTTGAGGAAGCCCAGGGGGCGCTTGCCTGGCTGCCCCTAAGGCCTGTCCTCTCTCTTCTCTGCAGTGCAAGATGGAGTTCCACGCTTGTTCCACTGGCAAGAGCCTCAGCACCCTCTGTGACGGGCCCTGCCCATGTCTCCCCGAGCCCGAGCCTCCGAAGCACAAGGCAGAGAAGAATGGTGAGTGGATCGCAGGGGAGGCCCTGAAGGAGGGCGGGTGGGCGGGAGGGAGGGCATGGCCAGCTCTGCCCAGATGCCAGCCCTGTGGTGTTTATGAGCTAGTCCAGCCCAGGCGGGGAGAGGGGCTTACTTGGCAAGTACTGCGGCTTATTCAGGGATCTCACACCATTAGAAAGAAGAAGAGTTGGCGTCTTTGAATGAATTCTGCTGGTCCAAGATATTCACTAGGTTCTTCGAGAAGTTGAACTGGCTCGAGTAGGAAGGGCAGTTTTTCCGCGTCTAAGACCAGGGCCTTCCCTGGGGCACATCTTGGTTTTCCTTGATCTCTAATCTGAGTCCTTTGAACTTCTCAAGGCCGAATTTCAAAACAGAGACTGCAGAGGTGTCATAAGGGCGGAGAGTGTTCCCCCCAAAAGCACTTCCCTATTAGTGCATTCTGTTTGTGGACAGCACAGGGCCATGGGGCACAGGCAGGGGGCAGCCTCCCCAGGGCAGCTGTTGCCCTTCTGTGGCGAGAGGAGGGGAAGGCTGGGCTTCTGAGGATGTGTTCATGGTGGAGAAAGTAGTGCCGTCCACTGGTCTCAGCTCCTTTTGGGGCGTCCCTAGTGAGACCCGGGATAGAAGGCTGCCTGCTGTCACCTGGGCTTTCTCAGTTAGAGCTGGCTGGTCCATTGAAGACGGTACATGTCCCAGTGTGTGAGCGTGTGTGTATGCACGTGTGTCCCTGTGTGTGTGTGTTTCTGTGTATGTGTCCCTGTGTATGAGTGTGTGTCCTTGTATGTGTTCTTGTCCTTGTGTGTGTCTGTGTGTGTGTGTATGTGTGTGCATATTCGCACATGTCACCTAGTATCTTTTCTTTGTAACAAAAAAGGATGAAAGGGTGTGAGTGTTTATCCAATTGCTCCTTTTTAAGTTGTATTGCCTTTTCAGGGCACATAGGTGATGTTCAAGTCTAACCATGTTCATGGTGGTGACTAGAAATATTGTGTTAAAGGGCCCTTTGGGAAATTTACTCAGAATGTGGAGGGACAGTGGTAAACCATAAGTCACTGTGGTCACAAATAATCTCCATAGGTTACTCTTGATTACCAAGAAGCTGATGGCATTGCTCACTTATATGACTGCAGTGAGAAATGCTAGCAGCTGTCCACCGCCCTCCTTGTAGTGTGGACGGAGAACCTAAGCCCTGTGGTGTGGAGCAGCTGCAGAGCTCAGCAGTTAACTTCTATGGGAGACTCGTTAAGCTCCTCTTAGGAAATCCCAGTAGCCTCTGCTGTTCTGGGTGCATAGTTTATTGCTTTTATTTACTCTTCCATGCGAGGCACCGAAACCAAACCAAGAAACGCATCCCCAACGCGCTGCCTGCATGTCATACCGGGGGGTGAATGCCCTCTCCTCGCGGGCACTGGCTCTGCTGAGGTTGCCGACCCGCCACCCTGGGTAACAAGCCGGTTTCCTGGGAGGCTGGTGGTCCTCCCAGTGCAGTGCAGCCCTGTTCTTAATGGTGGGCTCTCACACCTGACTAAGTGCGGTTCACTCTGCAGTGTGACGCTCCAGCCACGGCCTCGCCTGCGCTTCACTTGGCCAGTCATATGCTAGTAGAAATGGGAACTCATTTTTATGAAGCCTATGTTAGTAATCACCCGGCTATTAAAAGTAAAGAGACTCGGAAAACAGTGCTGTTCCTGAATTCTGAGAGCTCGGGAGGGAGGCGACAACTTTCAAAAGTGTTTCATTTCCAAATGTTTGTGGAGCATAGACCATGATGTTAATAGTGAGAGCTAGACCAGGAAGAAAGAGGATGGACTTCATCACACACCTGTCAGAAATGAGAACAATAAAAAATTATAGTGACACTGTTCTAGACCAAATTATCAAAAGTATATTTCTCTCATCAGTCCTTCAGTCCCACTGGCATTGTATGTTCCACTGGCATTTGGGTCAACAGTTTGCTTTTCTGACACTGTCTGCCCCAGAAAAGAGCCGTGGAACTCCACACCAGTCTCTGACGTCATCTGGCGTGTGTCTAAGAAATAGCGCCTTCACAGCAGGCTGCTGCACGCAGGGTCTCGCGGTCACACTTGGTACATACAGTTCTTTCTGTGAGGCTCTGAGGCCGTCTTTCTTGGGCTGTGATCACAGCAGAGTTTTATCTAAGCAGGGTGGGAAGGGAAGCAGCTACCTGTAGATGATAAGATTGAATGGCTGTCGTTAATTTATTACATGTCCAACAATATGCTAATGAAGGAAAGTAGAATCCCCTATTAGGGTATAATGCTTAACTTTTTCAGACGGATTTGATGGGTGTTTCCCTGGAGGATAAGGACATATTATGGGCAGTGAGGACATTGACAAACCCCTAGGGTCATTATGTGGGATGATTAAATTAATAGCATTTTACCTGGACAGAATCAACCAGGGGAAGGCCAATGTTTTTGTCTGATCTGACAGTTCTCTCCATGCAGCTCTCACAGGACTGAGGGGCAGTGAGTGCTAAGCACTGGGGATGAGGAGGACCAATGGGTGAGGGAGAGGTCAGAGGTGACATGAAAGGCAGCTTCCTTCTGACAACTTAGCTGTGGGGGTGGAGGGAGGAGGAGGAGCGACCACAGGGTCCACCTCCCCTTTCCTGTCCTGCTCCTCCCAGAGCTTTGGGCAGTGGGTGTGGCCGTCTTGACCTTGGTGGCGCATGTGGCTCTGGACCCTGTCAGAAGCTGTCTTGTTTCTGCGCCCCTTGCAGAAATGACATTTCATGGTCTCACAATGCGGGTGTGTCAGAATGTGGCATCTTTATTATTATTGTTACTATTTTATTTTCAGTCTTCTGATGAAAGCATTAATGTAGTCACTTCCAGGTCAATTCCGTCAAATGAGGGTCCTGTCATAATTCTAGAAAGGCGGGTGTGGGTGGGGGCCTCTGAGCTGCGATGCTGGGAAAGCGGCTGCTGGTGCTGTCCGTCTCTCTTTGGCACCCGCCCCGTGGAGTGCGCGCATCTCCAGTCTGTTGGCCTTCAGCGCTCATCACTGCAAACAGCGCGAGATGTTTGAGATCCCGTGTCTAGGAAGGCCATCCTGCACCCTCTTTCTTCTGTGTCCTACTCTGTGGATGCCCTCGCCCTCACACAGCCCCTCTCTGGCCCCCTTCATGGTCACGGAGACTTGAGGATGCCCTGTGACCTAGTGTCAGGAAAGACTGTGGTAAGGCTGCCATCCAGGGCTCTCTCCTTGGGTCAGCTGGGCAGCCATGTCTATTCTCTGCAGACAGTAGTTTGGCAAGGCTTGCCCCCAGTGAGATTCTTATCGGCAGCAAACCATAGGTCCTCTCTGTTGCTGGGCTCTGCACCGTCTAGGGTTTCACAGGTGCCTCTTCCCTGCCCAGGCCCCGAAGATGGGCTGAAGACAGGAGAACTGTGGTAAACAGAACCTTTCCCAGGGACTCACCTGCCTCTATCTGTTCTTCTTCTTCCCAAAATGTCACTCTGTAGCTCCAGCCTTGATCAGTACTGGCTGTGAGTGTGAAGGTATGTGCGGGCAGGTCTGACTCATTCCTTCTGAATCCTGTGGACATCTCTGCCTCTTCCTGCCTTGGCTTTAAGTTTCAAGACTGTTTTGAGGAAATCAAAAACCAAGTGGCTGATTTTCTTTTCTTCTCTTTGTTATTTCTGGCATCTCTCCTTTGATGTGGTCCCTGAGGACATGGTGGAGGGGGTAGGCATCTTTTATTATCTCTGAATATTTCCTCTCACATCTCTAAATTATCTCATGACCTTGGACAATTGCTTAATTGTTTTATCTCTCTTATCGCTATGATACCAGTTCAGCCTCAAGAGTATAGAGTAATGAATTGTCCTAAAAAAGAAAAAGAAAATGTCTGAGTTACTCATTTCCTGGTTGAGACTCTAAGGGCAAAACAGAGGTCTCTTACGATTAGAGTTTTTAAAACTCCTCTGTGCTTCCAGAACTGAGCTGTCCCACCTGACCTGCCTCCCTCCTGCTCCCTCATCAGAGAAAGACCCTTCCACTGGCTCCGTCCACTGGAGGAAGGGTCCGAGCTCCCTCAGGGCTGAGGTGAAAACTTCCCAGAAGGAGAGCAGACGAGGGAAGATCTCACTCTCACTCACCTTCTTCCACACCATGTGGAGGGTCCACGTGCTCCTCCAAGGGGCCTCAGGTTTCCCCTGAGGACCAGGGAAGGCCACGTGGGAGGGGCCTCCAACCGCCCCACAGACCCCGTTTTTATGCTTTCCTATGTTAGATTGCATCTGTAGGAAATGAGTTTGACCACCGGTGATGCTGGTTCAGTCCCCATTACAGCAGAGGAAACTGGAGACCCACCGACAGAAGGAATCTTGCCTGAGGTGGAGCTGGGATAGAGCCCGCCCCTGGACCTCAGCCTCGTGTCCTTGCTCCCACTGACCTGAGCTGTGCACACCCTGGGTCACGGTACGCGGCCGTCAGCCTGAGATGGTGGAAGGGCTGTAGCTGAGTTTGGTGTGAGTTAGATTTAATTTCTCCAGGGTCCGATGTTACTTGCCTGGATCTTGAAGTGTCAGTCATCAGGCATGGAATGTCACTGTGTTCCCCATACCCGTGATGCTTGAATGACATCCGAGAAAGAAATGGAGAGAACAGCACAATCTCTAAGGACAGCTCCTTCTTTGCTTCTGTGGCACAGATTAGCTTTTGGGGAGCCAGTCACCCCCTCAAGTTCTGGAGAAGGCTGTGGAACTGTACCCCTTTCCTGGCCTGACATGTGCTGGGAGGTAAGGCTGGGGAGGAGGGAGGGTGCCTCTTCCCAGCAGGGCTTACCAAACAGGAAGGAGCAGCAGCCAGCAGAGCTGGTTGGAACAGTAGAAAAATAGCCGATAGTGACTCTTCTCTCGAGTGGTGATTTCAGCCTAAGGGCTAGATCCTAGGGGGAAGTCCCTGGTGACAGCCGGTTGTCTAATTCCATTACTTATCACAAGCGAAGTGTTTAAATAGGAACAGGAGGTGGTGCC